CTGTCTTATGGAAGTAGTGGTTAAAGATTTACTGTTTGATTACTGAACAGGTCATGCCTATTTAATGCGTGGTAAGTGCCCATTAGAAAATAAATGAAGGCCGCTTGTAATCTTTTATTTAAATGAAATCGAAGATGAAAAGGACGACAATAGACCAAATTACTATTGGAGCTATCCCGTAGGTTAATAAGATAAACATTTTGACCAACAAAACTGTTTTGCACTGCAGACTCCTGTCCATACGCTACCTGTATGCACAAAGGCTCTCTTATTATGCATCTGATGACGAGTCCGCGCCGGATCTCGTAACGTCAGGCGAATAGAAATATTGTCCCAGCGATCGAATCATCATCTTCTTCTCAAGTGAAGCCTATTTCCGTTAAGTGCCTCGCAAGAAACTCTTACTCACATTGCGGATCAATTTCGTTCCCCACCGGGTCATTAATGATTGGAAAAAAAACCGACTTCTTCAGTGGTCCTTGTTGACGCGTTAAGGCACTTAAACGGAGACTTCATAAAACCTTACTTGAGGGTCATGTATTTTGCAGACATCAACGATAGATAAAACGTGCATATATTGCTGTGACACAAATGTATACTTTGACAGAATGCATTAGTAAATCTGTTTTCCAAATGCTCGACTAATTTTCCTTATACATACTCAGGTATCCTGGAGTTAATGCATACTAGAAACATGAAATAAGTCTCATGTAGTCTATATATGTCAATATGAAACTTATACTTTAAAGCAAATTGCGAAAATCGATTAACCACTTGCACACAAAAAGTAAGTAAGGTTGCAATACTGACTATCGTGCATGCTAATCTCAAGTCTTTTTAGTAATGCTTAGATGCTGGCTATGTAAATGGCTTCTTTCTGACCGCTTATAAAATTCAGATTTTGAAAAATAACTTGCTTCATAAATAGGATGCTCTTTTTACGTTGATTGTGACTGCCTGTATAAATTCAATTATATTTTAAAGAAAACATATTTAAAAGTATTATTTCTTATAGTCGTTTGGTAGCATACTCCACCTTTTTTTAATTTTATACTTAAAGAAACGGTATCCTTTGATTTAAAAAGAGTCTTTATTGCCGAATAATGTTGAAATAAGCGACTGCCTCACCTGCTTCCAAGGTTTACAATCTACGCGCTGCGTACATCTTATGTTAGGACAATAACGTGTTTGCCTACGGTTTGATGAATAAGTCACCTAGTCCTTAAAAAAAATTTGCAGTAGATGTGAATCCTGCTGTCTACATTGCAGCAGCATTAATAAATTGATGAAGAAAATGTGGTATGTATAAACACTTCATAGTCGTAAAAATCTCATAATTAGAGATTTTTCTAAAACCGAAGGTTACGCTTTCTTTAAGTCTAAAATTTAAAGAGATGCGTAATATGCTACTGAAAATCTACAAGAAAGAGTATTTTGTGTATGCTTTTTATTAAATATATTTAAATTTATAAAGGCAGTCAAATCAAATGATATAAATGGCTACCATGTAAGTAGCATTTTTTCCGAATCTAAATTTAACGAGTGGTCAGGAAGAAACTTTTTAACGTGCCTGACAATACCTTAGATTAGAGCACACGATAATCGGTATTGCAGCCTTACTTAATGTTGGTTTTTCGGATGATTACTACTCCTTCGCAAACTGCGGCATTTTGCTTGCAGCACTCGACATACTGTATTTCGAATTCTTACGATTGCTCCAAAAAGTGAAGATTTTAGCATGGCGATAATGATATGCTACGGGAAAAGTGTTTTCGTAAAAACAGGCAGTTGTGAATTAACTGTTAATCACCTAGAATGAAGCTCAAAGGCTAAGCCTATCTCCCCTTAATAGATACTGAATTATACTGAACTGAATCCATATAAGACGTATACATTTGTCTAATTTTGTGTATTTATGCTAAGCAAATTTCTCCATCTGGGCGCGAAACGAGTTTCCTCATTTGTCAATAAAGCGATATATTTTTGACTAGTTACACTGTCACCAAACAGTGTAGAAGTTAGCATGACGATGCGATGAGAATAGTGTTTTTTTTCGGAAAGTAGTCAGTAGCTAGCTATGCGGTGACCTTTAGTCGCGCAGAATCAAGCTTACCTTGAATGACAGTCTGTCCCCGAGGGGCCCCCATGCAATGCGGGAAACGGTGTTACAGACAGCGCTGACCGTTTGCACGATACTGAGAAATACGTCATCCGGAATGGTTTGTTGGCCCACGATCTATTAGTAGTGACAGAGGTCAAAAAGCAGTCTTTTAACAACAAGTACAATCCACGGTCATTAGAGTTTATTTAAAACACAGATACGCAGATAAATTTAACCTTGTAGTTGATTATTTGACAAAAGTAGTTTGTGTAATGCACCACATCTACCACCTAATCCCAGAATTTTGTCCTACGGAAACGGTATTTTTTAAGGTTTTTGGGATAAAGAAATAGGATAGGCAGTAGAATATACGGTATTAACTGCTATATACATTCCTAATTCATCATAGGCAGAAATG